TGGAGGGGGGTAGGTGGGTGGGGGGTGGATGTGGGTGCTGGGGGGGCACCGGCAGTAGGGGCAGTGGCAAGTGTTTGGGGGGAAGGTGGGATATTGGGGGACAGTGGGGAGGTGGGCTGTTGGGTGGGGGATGGGCATCAAGAAGCAGGTCAAGGGGGCACATATTCTCCTCCCTCCATCCCTACTGACCCTTCTCTGTCCTCCCCCATTCCCTCCATCCCAGGGCCTACGTGTTCCGCACCCAAAGCCAGGAGATCAAGGAGCGCGGGGGGAACCAGACCAGCGGCATCGACTTCTTCATCACCCAGGAGCGCATCATCTTCCTCGACACCCAGGTCCCTGCCCGCCCCCTTCTCCAGGGGACACCCCCGTCACGTGGCAATGGGCATGGAGATCCTGGCGCAATACTGCCTTTGGCCACCAGGGGGCATCACCACATGACTCCACCATTTGTGACCGCTGGGCCTGCCACCCTGACGAGCTCAGTTCTCAGACGAGGCTCCCCTGGGCCGGGAGCAGTAGGGGGTCTATGTGGCACATGGGTCAATGTGGGCTGATTGGTGGCAGGGTGGGGATGGCTGACTCCCTGGCTCTCTAGCAATGGGGGATCTCTACGGGCTGTTGGTTGGATTCCCCCATTGGCCAAGGCAGGGTTATGGTGGGGTGATTCAGTGTGTGTGTTTATCGCCCCCTGCTGGCGGGGATGAGCCCTGCTCCGTGTGTGTCCCTGTGAGCACCTCGCACGGCTCTGGACAGTCGGACGCTGTAACGCTCCCTGCACCGTGTCTCCCTCCAGCCGATTCTCAGCCCTTCCATCCTGGACCATCTCATCAACAACGACCGCAAGCTGCCCCCCGAGTACAACCTGCCCCACACCTACGTGGAGATGCAGGTAGACTACTGCCCCCCACCTCCCATCCGGCCCCAGGGCGGGCCCTGGTTGGCTCACTGGGACAAGGAATGGGGCCTTGCGCCTCTAGGGGGCGCTGACTCCAATCCGGCCCCAGGGTGGGGGGGAAGGAGGTGGTGGGTAGTGGGATACACAGCAATGATTGGTTGCTACTATTTGGGGGGGCATTT